GGGGGGGGGGGAGGGGGATGAAGAAAAAAATGTCGACAAATCGTTGGACCGCGAACCATTAGATGCCGCTAATGCTCAGAGAAATTGCGACTACCCTCTCCCCCCTCTTTCGATCTCCGCGAGAACCCCCCACTCCACGGGACGATTTATAGTAACGGACCTGTTGCTGCCCACCTATACTGAAAACCTTCGGAGAACTTTCAACTCTTTTCCCATTTTTTTCTCTTTTCCGGAAATCTAGCACTATTCTAGGAATACACTTGTGCTTGAGTTTAATTACTCTTAGCGACTTGTCATTATTGTTATTGCACGATGATAACGCTAGCGGAAATGTTTTTGACAGTTCCCTACAGAATATTCGTAATTCAAGCTATACGTGCGTTCCTCCGTGCGTCTTGCGCAACGTGCGCAACGTGCGCAATGTGTAATTCATGCTCGCTGGCTGAGGGAGTGGGATGCCGATTGTGTCCCATAGCGAAGTAGGTGAGATGGGAGTAGAGATGAGGCAGGGGGGAAGGGAGGGAGCGAAGGTACCAGCAGCGTGTAGGTAGGTGTAGGTAGGTGTAGGTAGGTTGGTCGGCCGACTGGTTGTTAGCGTCTTGTGCCGAGGATCCGGCACGAATCCCGACTAACGGGACACCTCGTGGCCCGCTGGCTTAGAATGCGAATGCTTCGTCTCCTCCTGCTATATACTCGGATGACGTATTTCTTATTTCAAATTTCCCCGCGACCTTCAACCTCCTGGAGCAGCATTAACGTGCAAGCCTGCGATGGGCCAGTGGCAGCAGGTAAGTGAATTCGCTACGTGAAATCAAAAATCTGAAATCCAAAATGCCAGAGGAACCAGAAGGATGCTGGGTCCAGCAGGTGGATCCCGGCGGTACAGGCCGCACCGGGAAAGTTTCCTGCTGATGGTTCTCCAAGCTGGCCGTTCTGATTAGAGGACTGGTTGCTCGACTTGGCGGACACGTGGCTATCGACGTGTCCATCGGCACGTATCGCAGGGTAGATGCGTGCGACTGTGGACACGCGGTAAACCGAGTCGACCTCGTTTGCCGAGCTTTCGCGACACCCGTTACGGATCCTGTTACCATCTAGCGAGTACTGCTTGTGCTTCTTCCAGTGTCTTTGGTTTCGCCGACGGAGCAGGTGCCCGAATTCCTCCGCCACTGTCCTTGATTCGCCTGCGTCTCCCGTGAGATGTTTCTAAATTTAATGCGCCGCCGCCCAGTGCCTTTAACTTTGGCCCCCGTTAATTCCTATTGCTCGCAGCCACTCGGCGCCTCTTACGTCTTACGCTTCCAATCGGCGTGTGCGTAAATGCGTAAGTGAAAAGTCCACCGAATCGCACCGCGCGCCGGACTCTATTCGTGGCTTCGCGGGCTAATAGGTTGCGCTCTCGCTCTTTGAAGTTCCCGTGTGGACAATCGCGAGCCCTCGGGTCGTTTTCCCAATTTTCCCAATTTTCCCCGTGAGCATGTCAATACCAATGGTTGAACGTTGGCCGCACTGGGAAGCGCGTCGTTCGGGCAATCGAAGTGCGCGTCCATTTTCGCTCGGGGGTTATCGATTTCAAGTAACTTCTATTTCCTCGAACTGCGTGCTTGGTCGTACTGGCCCCGTACAGCCTCGCCTGTACTTCCCTCTCTTTACGTCTTTGCCGGCCAACAGGGAATACATGGAATTTGAAGAAACGCGCAGGAGGGACCCGCCCGCGCGACCTGGTGACCGGCGCGGTATTCGCCCAACGTTCAGCAGCGGCTAAATCGGGCCTCAGGAATTCGCGCGCAATCCGATTATAGTCGCATGCAAATTTATTTGTTTTTTCTGCGTTTCTCTCTGACACTCGGACGCGTCTCTCCCGAGCTCTCTTCGTTTTTACTGAATCGAAAAGCCCGACTCGGCCCCCACTCGGGGCATTCTTGATTCGCTCCCTTCGCATTGTCAGTGGCTGACACTGGTCTGTCGTTCTGTTTCTCTGGAGTCGCTAAATGCAAACTGCTCGCGTAGAAAGGGAATCCATGGGATTGATAACACGAGGAATTGATACAACAGTTAGAACATGGGACATATACGTACTGTACTTGCCCGACCAGCAGCTTCCACATATGAGACCAACTTTTCCACCCATGGCAGATCCGCGTTAATCCTTTCCTAGAGAAAATTCTTCAAGCCCACGGAAAAGCACGAGACACACTGTATCCTCGATGGTGAAGCTTCCCCCGGAAGCTGGCAAAGGCAGTTGTCTCATCGTGAAAAGAATTTTTCAGTTTAACGAAAAATGCACGGAGACTATCTTAACAGTTTGCCCATGAGATTTATAGAAATGAGCGTCAGTTATAGCGAAGGATAATATTTTATAGAACACGTGGGTGCATCGACTTTTGTCTTATTTTTTATTCCGTAAAGATGTTTCTTTAATGCCAATCGATAATCGTTAATCGAATCAAGTGCAACGCCATGCTGCGCGTTCCCGCTTACTGCCGCTTACTGCCGCGGACTGACTGACTCGCCTGACTCGCCTGACTCGCCTGACTCGCTTGACTCGTCTGACTCGGCTGACTGGCAGCTGCTCGATTCTCCTTTCGAAACTCCGATTCCTACTCCGACTACAGTCCGACCGCTCCGACCGCTCCGACCGCTCCGAGCACCACGAGCACCACCAGTACTTCGCGACCGACTGTCAAGAGAGAGACTATAGCTCATCAGAATCTCATTGGGGTAGCAACGTTATATATACACCTACACATCAATATATATGTATAGGTATTTGGCAATTTGATTAGGCCCATTAGCCTAACTGACTGCCTGAGTGGTTTTTCCGACCTGATAAAAAAGTCCCTCCCCGATTCTCTCTCTCACTCTTCCACCTTTGCCCTATAATCACAGCTTTGAAATCCGTGTCACAGGATCCGGTACGTGTCACGTGTAATCATTGCTAAACGAACTTGCAATTTGTTCGACTATTTGGATGGGTTTTGCCTGTTTTTTTTTCAAATTTCAACTTCAGTTGGGTTGAACCTATCCATTCGAAACTCGCCTGATTGGCCCCCGAGCGTCCGGAGTACTCTCCTGTGCGAGCACCTGCGATTCTTGGGGATCGACCTGGAGGCCTGGAGGCCTGGAGGATCGATGGACGAAAAGTCTTGGGATAGAACGACTGCCACTTGGAAAGGGACTATCTATGTTGAGGAGTAGCCGACGCTCTTGGATATTTAATGATCCTGGATCGAAATAACGAGCAGTTAGCCAACATTCGAGTAGGTATAGACGACGTGTGCCAGACCTCTGGATATGTATTATAATGTGGCCTCCACTCTCGTATAAATGCTGCGGCTACGTTATTAAACCCTGACAAAGTGCATTGCATTTGCATTCAGCAATTTTCGATGGGACATTTTGCTTCCATGACTCTTTAGTTTGTGACTCGTTTAAATGCCGGCGGATTACTTAATGCTGTATTCCCTTATTCCGATGGTATAGTCGATCAAATGTCAACCTACTTTTTGGGACCTCGTATGCTGCAGCTACGTTCGTAAATTTTTTGTCCAAGTGCTTCATTATCTTTTTGGCAAAAAGAATGTAAGAATGAACATGGTTTTAAGGTCGAGGAGGTGAACAAACTTATTATTATGCCGAAAGGAAACCGGAGTGACCAGTAGGTGGGCGAGGATCGTTCTCGTAGATCGTGTTTGGCTGCTCAAAAGTGGTTTCCATGGTTTCTTTCATTTTTCGTTTTTTTTAGGGGGGGGAGGGGAGGGGAGTCAGAGCCCAGGGCCGGTATGGTGATTTCGAGAAAAAAAAGATAAAATTGGGTCTAGAACGCGTGCCGCCGAAATGTCTTGGACGGAACTGATGGTCAATCAGGCCCAAGTTTTTCTCAAGGATTTTAAACGGTTTCATAGCACGATCATTTTTTTACGTATATCTTGTTGGGATTTTTAAGAAATTTTTGGTAATTGGATAAAAGTCAAATTTCGATGTATGTCATAAATTTCATGTATTGTCAGTCAAGATTACTATCTTCTAATCGGCATATGTACAGCTTGTGGCGTTTCACTCTTCTTACGGTGTTGTCCACGTTTTGTTAATTATGTACAATTAATTTAAAAATACAATTCGCAAATGACTACTCTATCAGAATCTTGAAAATCCAAGAAATATTGGTCATTTGATATTTTTTAAATAGTAAGAACGACTAAAAACGCGTCTTGCGGAAATCGCACATAGATTCGAGTCGCTTAGAAGTTAAGAAAAAACATATAAAAAATTGTTCGAAAACGTTTCATAAAACTGAACTCGCATGAATTTGGGCCGTGTTCCAACTCGCAATCCTCCAATTCTGAGTTACCATCTTGAAAAAAAAAAATTCTCCCTTGTAGATTAAAACATAGGATGGCGGAGCGAACGGCAAAAAAATAAAATTAACTGAAAAGAAATATTTGATTTGAGTGGCGAGTTGGAACGCGCCTCGACAATTTAATTGGGAAAATATTTTTAAAAAATCCATAGCAGGTACATAGTGTGAAACGATCGCTCCGTATCCCAGGATGACAAATACAAGAAGAAGAGGTACGTAGGAGGAGGATGACGATGATGACGACGAGGAGGCCAAGTTTAAAAATGGAAACACGGCCCGTCAAAAATCTCAAAACTTTACACACAGGAGCAATAGAGAGTGCGGTGAAAGGTCATTTTCTGAAAATTCGAGGATTCCCGAAGAGCCACTCACCTGCAGCCCCGTTGCGACCCTCCCTTTCGAAATTCTCCTCGACTTCCACATCCTCCCCCTCCTCCACTACCTCGACTTCCTGTTCTCGACGATCCTCCCGCATCCGGAGAATCCGCGAATCCAGGCGAAGATCCGGAGTCTCGTGCGGAAGGTCCTCGCTGCGTCCTGACAAGGTCGTCTTCGAGTGGTTCCATTTTTCGGCATCCTGCATTTCCATTAACAAATGGCGATAACCTTCTTCCTCCTCCTCGACCTCCACCCCAACATCCTGACGAGGATCCTCCTCCCGTTCCTGATCCAGCTGCCGTCGTCGATCTTCCTCTTTCTCCTCCGAGCGATGATAACGCTTCTCCCTCGACTCCTGATGAAGGTCCGAGACGGAGGACTGATCTCGACTTGTTGGTGGCAACCCTCGCCCCGAATCCGCCATCGACGTTCGCTGCTGTTCCTGGAGTAAGCAGGCGCTCGAGAGGAGGTCCCACTGGCGAAGTTTCTCCCGGTCGAGTTCGAAGGACGCGGACGTTGACGTAGACGCCCTGGCCATTTCCGCCCTCGACGCGGACGGGGGAAGGTTGCCTTCCGCTAAAAAATGCTTCGTTTCTTCCGGACTAGACTTACGGTACGCTTCGTTCTCAGGATCCCATACGTAACCAGCACTACCAATACGGTCCATCGCTAGCCTCTCATACGTTCTGTCTTCCTCGATCTCACTGGAGGGTTCATCGTTTTGCTCGAGTAGTCTGTCCTCGTCGACTTCCTCTTCATCTTCCTCCGACTTGTTGGGATTCCGGCGTTTCACGCGTGGCCTGTCGACAGACTCGTCGGAGTTCTGACGTAAGACTATACTGTCATTCACATAGGTGGCGCCACGGGTTATCCTGGGTCGTGTCTTGGGTTCCAGATTGATCCTGGTAGGTTGATTAGACGAAGAGGATTGCGGGTTTTCCAGGTTGTCCAGGGAACGTGCGTGTCTCAGACTCACTCTTCTCAGACTCTCCCGCCAGAGGGTATCCTGCTCCCAAGGATCCTCCGGTTGGAAGGAATCCTCAGGACTCCTGTTAGAGTATCCTGAACTTTCATTAAGACCAGGCGCTTCCGGTGTCTGATCCATAACCTGTCTATTAACGCGATTTCTTTGCTCTACTAAATTTTGTAAACCCACATCGTCCAGAAGACCTTCCAAGGAACGCGACCTTCTGTGGGACGTTTGAGGCGTTGAGAATTCCATTTCATCGCCTGCGCCGATCTGGGTTTGACTACCTGACTTATCCCTGAGTCCGTGTGGATACAAATTTCTAGTGCTGATGTCCTGCATGGATATATCTGGCAAAGGATCAGTGGATTTTACTCTCCTGAGCGTGTCGGCCTCATAGAAGTTTCTCTTGTCAACCAAACCAGTCTTGTTCTCCGCGAGGAATTGGCTGGACGTTTTCCTGAGTTCCGCTGCGATGCGTCTTGCTTCGTCTATGTCCACAACTTGAATTTGTCGTGGCATCTGTCTCGGGATTGGATTTACCATCCTTCCGATGTCATTCCTTTTATTCAATCCAGATGCGTCACCCCTTTGATTATTCAATTGTGGCAAACGCGAAGTATGGACTAACGTGGGTCTTGCCAATTGCGCGTCCACACTGCTCACACCTGCCTGAAGATCAGAATAGTAATAAGGAGCTGACTGATCATTTTGTAATTGTTGTTGAACTGGTGAAGAGTATGAACTTTGTGGATTGGCCTTTACCGTTGACGTGGATGCTGGATACTGACTGGAATCTTGACTCGATGATGATCTATGATTGGATGAGAGGGAATACCTCGCAGAATCTTGACTTACTTCCCTGGAATGTTGTTGCTGCTGCTGCTGCTGCTGTACTCTTTGATCTAAATAGTTTGCTGACTGTAAGGCGCTGCTGATCAAAGCGTGATTCCCCGAAGACAGAGAACCTATCGGGGATGGCATCGACGAGGACTGACCACTACCAGGTCGCTGACAAGCAACGGAAGTGGAGATCGATGCTGTGCCTGATGTCAGAGAGTAACTTGAGTCTCTGCTGTGAGATGCGATCAGTGATCCATGATGGGAACCTTTCTGCATTCTGTAGGAATGTTCCTGGACAGTCTGCCCAGTCTCTGACCTTATTGCTGGTGAACCTCGCAGGGGCGAGAAACTCCCGATGTTCTCGTAGTGAGCGTCACCTGTGAATGATTGGGAATGCTGGTGCGAAGGTGGAGCGTCGCTCACCCTCATCGATGGCAAACTACTTGCTGAGCTGGTCTTGCTTCGTGTCCCATAGCGAAAAAGTTGGTCCAGAGTGGTAGAATTCAAGTTCATCTTCGCTATTTCCTGACTGGTGGTTTTCTGTAGCTTGTCAGCAGCAATCATGTTTTCGTTGAAGCCATAGATACTGTTGTAACTAAGGTCCTTGGCGTAGAGGTCTACGTTGAAGGCATCCCTGGCTTGAAGTTTCTTGAAGTATTGATCCAGATCCACGCCTACCCCGTCTAAATGGCTTCCTAAGGATTCTAGTTCGTCAAGGCTGTCCAAGACTCCACAGACCTCGTCGCTGACTGGTCTCCTCTTCATTTGTCGATGTCTAGCTTCCTCTTCCGGGTTTCTTAATTCGACAGAATCACTTCCCGATGCACTTCCCAAGGATATCCGACTGTCCCTGAAACTAGAGCTTATTGTGGCGTCTGAAAATCTAGATGGCGATCGATGCGACTCCACTTGGGGTGCAGGTTTGTTCCAGGACTTTGGTGAATCTCTATTTGACGAATTGTCTCGCGTTCCTGCGACCTGAGGAGACACTTTCTTTGCCTCCAGAGTGTCCTGTAGCTCTAGAGAATCTAGATCTTCCAATGGTGGCGGTGAAGTAGGTATAGGAGGTGGAGAGACGAGCTCACTATCCGAAGAGTCATGCAGTTCCGCTATCAAGGCTCTGCTAGCACCCAGGTAATACGATGCTGGTCTGAATGTGTCCGAGAGACTAAATCGCGGATGCCTGGGTGCATCCAGAGAGTCAAGATCCTTGGAAGATTCGTCATCCGCGTCGGAGCTGTCGGATTTGAGCGTAGTCAGGATATCGGGAAGGTCCGATCGTGCTGAAGTTGCTTCCCCGTTGGAGTCCCTCTTTCGGCACGTCCTTTTTTGACTGATTTTTTCTTCCTTTTCAGCCAATTGACTGACCTCCATATAAACAGGCTCCATTTTATTATCAGCAACGCACACAAACTCATAGTGCGGTGTGTCCAGGGTTGAATAATCGCCCGAATCGTGTTTTCTTCCATTTTTATCAGGTGCCAGAAGGGAGTGTCCCATACCGTTCTGCGTCATCTCGACGTAGGAGCTCTCCTCGTGATTCAAGTTTGCGAAGAGGCTCTCCATCATATCGGGATTCGGTCTGTCGTCGTTATTGGGATCCAAAATGGCCTTCCTGGGTGACATGGGTAGATAGTGTTCCTCAGGACTGGGATCCTCAGCCTTTGATGTGGGACTCGTTGTCGTACTTTCGCCAGACAATTGATCATCGTGTGTCACTAGGGATTCCGTCATACTCAACCTAGTGTATCCTGAAGTAGGTACCACATCGAGCTCCTTCGTGGGCTCGTTCATACTACCCTTGGAAACTTTCCTTTTCCTTCTACGATCCGCAATGTCTTTCTTTCTTCTTATAGTTCCTGTGTAGCTTTCCGATGCCTCTGACGTTTTTCGTATCCGTCGTTCCTCCTCCTCGTCTTCCTCGCTCCTCGCAGGATTATCCAGCTCACTTCCGGTATCATACAGAAGAGTCTCAGTGTCACTAAATACACCCCTGTGCTTGATCTCTTCGTTCCTCTCATCTTCCTGACGTCGAACTTGTCTTGATTTGCGCTCAAAATCAGCCAGAAGATCCTTAACGGATTTATTATTGCTATCCTGCATCTGCTGCGACTGACTGTCCTCGGTCCCAGTTGTTTCCGTTACGTCGGCACGTTGCTCGGATTCTCCCAAGGCGAAGTCACGAATCACAGAGGCTGATTTCCGGCTGGAATCCAAACGTGAGACATGAGCTTCCGTTGCCTGAGGTGGTGAGACCTTGAGAGGTTCCTGCATAGCCAGCATCTCCTTGACGGGACTGGTTTCGTCCATGCTCGATTCGAAGGATCTTATCCGCGACTGCACCAGATTCATAGTCTCCTGTCTTCCATGATCCGCATCGTTCTTAACGTCCGGTACGTTCTCCGGCGTTATATACTGATAGGAGAACTCCTTGATGACCTTACTCTCGTCGATCTTTGAATCCCAATCTTCCTTGTCGTCTCTCTCCTCCTCATGCTCCTTGGAATCCCACTGAACGTTCTTCGAGGTGTGCCAGGATTCATTAGGAATGTATCCAGCCAGCGTGCTGAGTCTACCCTCGGATTTGAAAGCCTGATCGCTCGAAGAGTATGTACTGGGCGTCTTCAGTATTCCCGAAGGTTTCTTGTTCGATGCATTCCTCGGTCTCAGGTTATCGTAACTAGTAGCAGCGACGTCTCGTCTCTTTTCAGTCTTGGAATTCGGAGCGAAGTCGCTTCTACCAGCGATGGAGAAACTGATTTCCTCGTAACCGGCGTCAGGCGGTATTCCGCCAGGATTAGTAGTGCCGGCGCGTCCGGTATATTTATCATCAAGCCCAGTGCTCGAGGAACTCGGTGTTATTCGGATAGGATCCAAGCTCGTGTGGAGACCAAAGGATTCACGATCCTGGCCGACAGTACCAGTGGAAGATGTAGCGCCGACAGGACGATCCTCGAGGACGTTCCGGGGACTCCTGGCTGCGTGCGAGGGTCTGCGCGTGCGCTTCCTCCGGACATCGCTCAGCTCTGATTTTTTGCCAAACAAACGTTCTCGTTACGGCGACGCTTACATAAACCACCATGAGAATGACGTCCAGGGTATCAAATAGAACCAAGCAGTTACACCCGACCCCGTTATTATTCGATCGCTTAGACAACTGCACAACCATTGCCCAGAGTTCCGGGTGGATACGATTCTGTAGGATAGTGGGAAAGCCGCAGTACCAACATTACCACCACGTAAGTGAAAACTTAGTTAGATGGGAATTAAAAGTGTCCTCGCAGTCAGGACGACTAGAGGAAAAGGATAGAAGATGCGGAATGAGAATTAAATGAAGAAAATAATCGAAAGAGAGATGACCTCTTGGAAACAAGACAGGATGCTCTTTCGAACCTCTAATGAAATGGAGCGTTGTAATGAAACTGCGAGCGTCCAATGGTTATTACGAACAGCAACCCCTATTGCACTGAAGTACACGTTGTATACATAGTTATAATCCGACCATTGAATTCCCCGCGCACTCCCCTATGGAGATTACAGTTCCGATTGTATATAGGATCCTGTATAATGTCAGGCAGTAGGTAGGTAGGTAGGTAGGTAGGGAGGTAGACACTGGGAATGTTATACTATTGGTGATGGGAAATGACGTCAGAGCGGCACGTCTAGTGGCATAGTAAGTAGTAACGGAATTGCATAGTAGGCGGCAGAATAGGTGACAGAATGATAAAAACTATAGGAGAGAATGATAGCGAAGAGTAGTGGTATAGTGATATCCACAGAGAGGGCGCGAGTAGTAGGAGTGAGTGGTGGTACTGGAACCAATAGTAGGGATGAAGACAGGTAATTTTGTAAATGGTCGGGCAGTGTGCAGTGATCTTAGCCCGAGTGAGTGGTGCCGCTGGAGATTAGTCTCGAGGTGTTAGTAGAGAACGGATTGTCAAATATTCAGGAGCCGTATATCGTAGACTGTGGCCGACAGTGTTAGTGAAATAATTAGAGAATATTAACGTGCCATGCCTGATACCACCACAGCATCCACACCGGTCCATATGGAACACGTTCTCTAACATGGTAAGTTTTGTTAATCTTTCCATTCACCAGCCCAGACCCAGCAGCAGTACCAGGAGAATAGAGACGCAGTCCCGTGTGAAGATTTATTATGATACATATATTTTGTAGAATTTGTTTTTTCCATTCTTCTCTTTCTTTTGTTTTTTTTTTTATTTTACTTATCTTAACCATATGGTAGAGTACTAATGTTTGTTTTAATATAAAGCTGCATTTCTTTTGTTTCTTTTATATTTATTACATCATAGAAGTCTTCCTCTCTCTCTCTTTCTCTTTTTCTTTTCTTTTGTTTGCTCAATCTGTCTGCTCCGCGAGAAACTCGCTTTGTTAGTTTGACGTGGATTAATTATTCAATTGATTAGTTGTATTATTTCTAAACGAGTGTCAAGACCCATAAGATCCGGTAGACGATAAGGATACATCACCACCCGAAACGCTCATACACAAACTATGTCTACGGTTAAAGGCAAACAGGACAGACAACAGAATCGACGACGAAGAATAGCGGCACATATAGAATCGAGTTCCCGACTGTTTTACAATAGAATTGCGGATAGCGGTGAGTAACCGGGGATATGGAAAATTGATTGACATAAAAATCCTCAAGCATCCCCAGGAATAATTCCATGTCCCTCTGGTACTCACGAAAAGCGGATGAAATAGTTCTAGATGATGACTTCCGAAGAGGAGCTATCCCTACCTTCGTCGTCGCTCGAGTAGCTGTTGTATCTTGAGACATTTGTGACAGATCGTCTTCCATCAGTGCTCTTGCTCCTGACGTGGACCCTGTGGCCTTCCTCGCGCCTCCTGCAGTGCCGTGCCTCGGCGACGGAGGCTTCGTGTGCCGCCAGATCCAGAAGTGCCTGCTGCTTGTAATAGCTGGACAATTCATTGTGTGCCGTTCCTCTATTTGCAGATCCTGATGGCTTCCTGGTGAGCGGTGACTGCAGCATACGCTGCTTCCATTCCAGCAACCTCTTCATGGACTCTTCACGCTGGAATACGGAGAGAAGGACAATGTACACCGCGATGCACCGAACATTACTGAGACCAGGTAAGAGAAATGTTGAAGGTGGACGGAACGTTGCGGTGAATCAGCACCGAGTCGAACACTCATAACTCATTAATGGGTTCCTGAGTCAGTGAACGTACCGGCAGCCATTGACGTTTCTACGGTATGAGTCAATAGCCGGAAAGGCAGAGAGCAAAAAAGAAAGGAATAAAAAGACGAAAGTTGAACCAACAGCTCACCTGCTGAATTTTTCTCTCGCCATCGCGAGAATCTTGTCCAGACGATCGCTCGGTGCAGTCGTCATCTTCACGATCCATTGCTGCTGGATGTCGCGTCCTGGGTAGTCGCGCCGACGCCGACCTCGCGAATTGTTGTTCACTCCAACGTCTCGTTGCTGCATGACCCGATGGACTCATATGTGGAAGATGAGTACCTTGATTACCCAGTGCTAGGATTTTACTGTGCGGCCCATTGGAAGTTTCGTATTCGTGGGATATCCGCCGTGGTACTGTACCAGCTTCTCCATGAACCAGCAATTCGCGTGCGCTGGGTTCGTAGCTGCGCTCGCGTAACGATCTTCTCAATAGTGGTTCATTTGATATTCTGTGTTTAAGGATGTAGAGAATAGTACAAGTTGTCTTTGGGTTAATTAAGAATTTACTAGGATATTGTACAGAGCTACTTACTCCGTGTGCCTCTGCAGTGGTTGACTCGATATTATATGCTGCTGGTGTAGCTCTCTTTGGTGATGTCTTGGAATGTTACAGCTATTCTCATTAGGATCGTGATCTCTCTCACGATTGCTGGATGATTTTGACGGAGTCGTTGCTCGTGATAGAGATTGATTTCTCTGTTGCTGATGATGCTGAGGAGTTTGATGTATGTAGACTGCCGATTGTCGCATCTGGGCAGCATATCTTGCAAGGGCAATCATCAAGATTAAATAATAATTATTATCATATTGTAGTTGAGGATATTTTATCAGGGATTCTTTGATTATTTTAGATTTATTTACCGCTCCTCGGAATAGAAGTAACCATCACTGGCCGGCACCTCGCTGGGATTAACTATGTCTAGACTGGACTTGGGTCTCTGTGGTCTTCTCTGTTGATTAGGATGATTAGCACCAGGTTGTTGAAGCGTCTGTTGCTGGGGTCTTCTGGTAGCCTCGTACTCCAGGAAATCTGCGCTATGTGGTCGAGGTGGTGGGTGTGCTCTGTGTTGTCGCATGATGGCTGTTAAGCAAATGCAATGTCTACTACTCATTCCTGTGCTAGATGACATCGAAGATATCACAAGATTTTCCTTATTCTAAAAATCTTACCACTAACAGGTGGCGCTGTGGAGTAAATTTGCTGTTGATGTTGCTGAGTGTAAACCGGAATGGGTATAGGTGCTGGCGCTTGGCCTTTGGTGTATCCCACAGGACCAGCTGGTCTTTGATACAGCTGTGGTCCTCCGGCGTAAACATCTTCGTAGTCGCCGTTTCCTCGAGCATTCCTGGGCTTTATGCTTCTACCGTAAGTGTCAGGGGTTCTCCGCTCTGTATTCTGTGGCTGACTGTACCCATAATTTAAGCCTGATTTGTCCGTTCTCAGGGATTGTTGAGGTGGCTGCGTTACCCTGGTACCATATATGAGACTGTTCCTGTCGTACTCGGACATTGGACTCTTGCTGCTCAACCTGGCATCCGGGGAGACTGGCGACTTCCTGTAATCCGGATCTGGCGACGGCGTCGAATACTCATTGGAGCCATCGTTGGTGAGTCTTTTTGGTTTCGGTGGAGCATTGGCGTAGAGAGATTGACCAAAATTTCTAGCCATCGGTTGGACAGTCTGGACCTGGTTGCTGGGACCTGGTTGCTGTTGAGTAATAGCATACTTGTGCTGTGTTGCGTGTTGGTAATGCTGGTGCAATAGTGCCTGATGCTGATGAGAATGATTTTGTTGACTTTGCGCAGTTTGTTGATATTGTTGCTGAGACGGTCCAGGCTGTGCGTACTGTGCGGAGGATTGCTGCATCCAGCCATTGACGATTGGTTGTTGCTGGGACTGACTGTCATGACCATTATTATTAACGTTGCCAGGCCCATTATTGTTGCTAGTTAAATTTGGAAATGAGACTGTGTTGATACTGTTGGGACTTGAATTGTTGTTGGAGGCGTGACTAGGATCATCTCTCGATTGAAAGCCATGAAACCCGGAGTCACTGTCGTCGGCGCTTTGATTTAAAATTGAGGATATGGATGACACACTGGGCCTTGCGCTTCTCTCGCCATCAGCGGGCCCCGCTACGTCCAGCGCAATCGCAGCGTCAGCGCCAGCCCTGCAAAAGGAAGTTTCTTTTAAAGAACGGGACAAGAGAGGGACAATCCTTAGCCGTAGGAGATTGCTGCCAGTTTGAGCTCCTCTTTCATTGCTCCGTTCGCCTGATCCAAGACCTACCTCAACTAATTCTCATACGGGACTCTGGAAACTTTCTCGAAACTAACTAACGAGTTGGACGGTTGCCTTGCGATTGCAGCGGAGTTTCGGGGCCCCCGGATGTTTTATGCTACAAATGTACCTGTGAATCTGTATAAAGCTCCCCGCACGAGAATACGTAGACACGCACACAGCTTGGCCGAGTTTGCCGAAGGAACGAGCAGCAAAGCGAATTTTCCATTACCCGTATTCAGGCTAGCAATAGTCTCTCACCCTTAACTTCCCCGACTACCCCCCCCCCCCCCCCCC